TATAATAAAACAAGGGTGGTTCGGTAAAGCCTATTAAATGAATGGTGCTTGGAAGCCTAGGGTGTGGTTTATATGACGGTTAAAAAGAAGAAAACGCCATTCCCTCAGGTCCCATGCTCGAACTCTTGCGAGCGCGGTGTTACCGGAGAACGCGTGGAGAGGATACCAACCTGTGTGCGATCCACGCCAAGCGCGTGACCATCATGCCCAAGGCCATGCGGTGAGCATCACGTGACGTTTGTAGTCGTGACGTCGATCTCATGTGTTTAGCGGCCAAGAATCACTGGTTTTTGGCCCGATGTTCTGGAAAGAGAGTTCCTGCTGGAATGCCTTTTCTTTTGGTGAAACCGTGGTTTTTGCCAGGTGATTTCTGAAATTGTGATCCTGCTGGATTATTTTTTGTGTTCACAAATGTTTTGTGTTCACAATTTTTTTGTGTTCACAAAGTGTTATCATACCATCTCACCAAAATCAATCAGAGAGATCCATTGCATGCATCTCTTTTAGCAAGATCCAGTGGAAATCCCTTTGGGACTGTGCTATTCTTCCAGCTCAGGGGCTTCCTTACAGAGATGGCTTTGGGTCTATGGGGATCATCAGCTTCCAATGTATCCAGGATGAACCACCGACAGCGACGGCCCCGCCGATCCCCTCAGGGGGGCTTCGGAAGGTGTTTTTTTCCTGCGGGAAGAAGGAAGATAGACCAAAACCATTTAAATGGAGTGTCTCCTCCCTATATTTAAGTACACACCCATATATATTATCTCCCTTTTGGAGAACTCTTAGACAAGAAGAGCCCCGACTTGGGAAGAAAGGACCAACATCAAGACTGGAATTGGAACCATCCCGAAGCTCTTTTGCCGATCCTTGCAAGTCTAAGTAGCCTTGCAGATCTAGCTGTGAAAAGCTAGCTGGAGAAGCGAAAGCTATCCTTCCGTCGACTGTCCAATCGACCGTACGGCTCGAGGAAGGTTGGACTGTTCCGACTGTGAGGAGGGATGGATAGGTCCGACCTCTTTCCAGTTGGGAGGGTCCGCTCGCTTCACGTCTTTTGGGGGCTAATATGATATAGGGATGGATCCGAAACCAGGAAGTTGGGGAACATTGAACTGCCAGGGGAGAACACAAAACCATCAAGAAAACGGTTTTTCATGGTTTTTCACACACAAACACCTGATGTTTTGTCAATGGGGAAAACCAGGTGTTTTTTAATGTTTTGTGGGGCCCCTGGTGGGTGTTACCGACCATCAGCTTTCAAAGTCACATCCCACGGATTTTGCCACTTGATGGTTCCAATCGTCGAAACCGAAGTCCTTTGGGTGCCACTGAGCATATAGTTCTGGACACCGGCGGATAGACATTGCTAACCTCATACAGAAGATCGAGCCAACCTTGGGTCAATCACCCAAAACTCTCCGAGGATTTCGGTGGAATTTGGACGTTTTGGATCGCCTCGCCCCGCCTCCCTCCAGATCCAACCAGATGGGTCCTGGACAGTGGCGATCCGGACTCAGTTGGACGATGACGGCCTGCAGGATGTCCAACTGGCCCGTCGTTTGAGGGGCGAGCGCACCTGACGCCGCAGCGACTCGAGGTTCGGCGAGGTTCGCACCGTCCGGCGTGGCTTGCGGCCGCGGGCAGCTGTAGAAATAAGATCACCCAAGGCTGCAGAGACTCACGATTTGAAGAGGAGGTCGTCCTTGTTCCGATCGTAGCATTCAACGATCGTATACTTACTAAGGCCAGGAGCTTCGTACATTCCGATCGCGTCCGAGCGCGTCCGAGCGCGGACTCGTGTTTGCCGATGCCCGTTCGCCATGTTCCGGACTCGTAGCAACCATCCATGAATATATGTCCAACCCGCAAGGCGCCGCAAGACTCTTAGAGAGGATTCATTTTAGGTCTGCGGTGCTTCTCAGGACCGCACCGTGTTTTGTGGAAGACCGGTGCTTTTGTGGAAGAGCGGTGTTAGTTGGAAGACTCCAAAGCAGAAACAAAGCAGATCCACATGTGTCTAGACCAGATGATTACTACCAAACTACCAGACTACCAGACGCTCGTGTGATGCTTGATTGGCCTCATCGATTTCACTTTTAACAGATCACGGGAAGTGTATTGATTCAACCTCTCGGTTTCACTTTCAACATCGCTCGTCGCCCCGTTTGAGTCTCCTGTCCATGTCTAGACCAAGCACGACTATTTGCCAATTTAAGTTGCATTCATGTAAAATAACACAACATGCCATTTGGATCTCCAAAGGCAGATCAACTGCTGCCGTCCTTTCTTTGGCAAAAACATGTATAGACCATCCACCCTGGAAGGGACACGAAGGATGTAATGGTTCTTCACTTTCTCCACTGGTCAACCATGTCTTGGGTCGAGGATGCCAGGTAGGTCCGGCGAACCGGCAGAACCGACCGAACCGACCGAACGCGAGACCAAAACGAACGAGTTGGAGAGTCCGTTCCAGCCTGGTTCAGTCGAGCGATTCGAGGTGTGGTTCATGTACTCCCCTCAAAAAAAGGCACACATGGAAAGCCAAAACCACTGGTTGGCTTCCAGGGGATCATTGTTTGGGTCCATGTGACTTTTTCGGGAGTGTATGCGTTTTCTTCGACGTTTGGACGTCTTTGGGACGTGTCCATCAATCTCCAAACAAGTTTCCGTCAAACTCAGCCCATTTCAGTGTACTCAACTAGTTCGCACCGCAGCCCTGGGTGTCAGCACAGCACAATGCAGTGCAGCTCGCTCCGCGCGCAGCCCGCGCGCAGCCCGCGCGCAGCTCCGCCCGGCGAAGACTGGGGACGCATTGACGAGCGAGCATATGTGGGGAGAGATGCTCTGAGTCCGTGTGAGGAGGGCGTGGTGAGAAACAATATAATAGGTGTTTCGCCATGCAGGCAATTTAAGAGTTGCATGGCAAAATACTGTTTTGTTTTAATGTTTTTTTCATCCTAGTTGGCGCAGGATTGCCTCCAAGGGTGGTATGCTTGGATATGGGTGGTTCGTTTGTTAGAACTAGCGAAAGGATGACTGCATCCGTGAACACAACATGCGCAAGACCAGGGCAGCAACACATCGTGAAGAAAGGTTGCGAATGATTTGAATGAATTAATTGATATGAATTGTACAAATCAGAAATTGCCAGTAACAGCCATGTGGCCGGCCATGTCGGCCCCTTTCTGTTTTTTTGCAGACACGTCATGCTAATGCCGCGTCGTTCAGGAAGGAAGGATCCCCCTCGAACGAAAAACATGAGTTCGGAGTTAACTGGGCTTCATGATGCCTCCATTTGAGGACTACCCTGACTAAGGCCATTGCAACATGAGGTTTGGGAGGGACAACCCGGCTTTTGCTGGTTCAGGAACAAAACATATCCTCTTTTTGGATCTACGTGCAGAACAGAACCCAGGTTTGGGGACGTATGAGGCAGTGCATCGCTGATGCTTGGACACGGATTCGACACTGAATCAGCTCGTCAGTAGGTCATCACAGAGCTTGGGGGTTGGAACGGCAGGCAAGCAAAAAGAGCAGTGTCGGTGGTCTGGAACCGTGCCACGAGTGTTCTTGCAAGACTGATTGAGACTAATCATGATGTTCCCTTTTTAGGGTTCCTTTGAACAATCGGTTGCTTTCTTCCCCTTTTCTTCAGGTTCATCTTGTTGCACCCGATGGCCATGGCCTGGCGTGATGGCCTTCGAACGGCCATGGAACAAGATCGACGTGTGGAGAACGAGGTCCAGACGGGTCACGTTGACGTGACTCACGTGCACATGGAAAGCTTTCGGGTGTCTCCACAGAGGACGTGTGCCACAAACTGCTTTCGGACGACATCCTTAACCAACAAAAAGAAACGCTGTTTGCTTGGAGGTTGGCGAGGTGGACACTCTGATTCTCATGTTTGTGGGACCCCTATAAATGGGTTGATAGTCCCTTAAAACAGAATTCTAAGATGTTTCCTTTGTACTGCAACAAGTCCCGCAGTGCGTCAGTGCGCCACCACAGAATCGGTGGTCGGCCTGCCAGATCGGTGGTCAACACGTGGAGACCGGTTCTCTCAGATCTCGACGGTGGTCAAGACCCCTGAACAATGAATAGACTGGGGACGACTGGAAGGTCAAAAGGTTCTTCGGATATGGCCTGAGTCGAAACCATGTTTCAGTTTGGCCTTCGAAACGTCGTCTTCCAATCTGGTCCACGGTCCAGATATCCGGTTCCATGGGGGTGTCGACACCCTGGGTGTAGGTTTTGGTACAGCCGGTGGCCTGGTGCTCTTGGCCTGGTGCCGACTGGTTGACCACCTGTTCAAGACACATGTGATACACATATGATCGCTTTGGGGGGTCGCAAGTCTCTATAGGGCCTAAGGGGCAGGGCTTAAGGAGTGTTCAAAGTTCCACCTAAAACCCCAGTCCTAGAAAATGTGGATGAAACTCCCCACCCCGGGCGTTTCCTATATATGTAAAGGATCTTTGGGAAGTTTCCTATCCCAGACGCTCCATAGAATATATGCCTACATTGGGGTGGTTTGGGGGGGTGAATGTAGGCATATATGGCATACATGGAGCGTCTGGGTATATGTAAAGGATTTCTGGTAGTTTTGGCGCCATATTCTTTGGAACAACCCGAACTGTTTCTGGGTTCGGTGGTCAAGGGCTTCCAGGAATGGATGTCGACTTCAAACCAGAAGAATCCACAAAAAAAAAATAATCAACCTGTTTGTTCTGGACATGTTGTTCCAACCAAACATAACCAAACCCACCCTTTTCCATTTGGGAATTCTTCAGGTTCTTGGGCCAGTATCTATCCATCTCGTCCTGGAGGGACCACCGTCTTTGGTATACCGTCCAAAGAGTGCCCTCGAGGGAGTCGCCTCTTTCTTCGGTACCGCCCCGACTTCAGCACTTGCAGACGTGGGCTCCAACCTAAAAGCAAAAGGAACCTCATTAGGGGATGGCCTCCAAGTGAAGAGCGATGGCCTCCAACCAGGAGCTCAGATCATGGCGCACCTCTTGCTGAAGACCATGAGCCTCACGACCGTGGACCTTTCAGCAGCTCGATGCGCATGCGCTCGAGCGCTCCGCGAGCGTCTTCTCCCGCGCTCCGCGCTGCGTGGCGAGGGCAGCGCTTCGGTTCAGTGGAGAGGTTGGTGTGTCCTCCCAGACCAGACGATTGGGATTGACATATTTACCAACGGGGGTGATTTGGGGGGTCCATGTTGGCATATGTTTCCATCTATAATTATACCTAAAGAGATAAGAACCTACGTTGAACCTCCCCCTTTTGGGTGGGGTTCCATGCAGTGAGAAACTCCGAGGAGATGGAAATGGTAGTGCAACCTCTATCAGACTTGGAGAGGCCATATATAGGGGATGAGTGACCATATATGAGCCCATGTCCACTCCCGGTCCTGAAAATATTGTTTTCCTATGTGTCGTGGTGGTGCTAAAGTCCGCATTCAAACAAGAAACAGCGGCAGAATGCAAACTGGAAGCAGTGTGACTCAATGTTTCGACTCGCCCATTGCCATTCGTGTTGGTCGCATTGCTGAGATTTCACTCGCACTGGGCATTTCCGCAATCTTCGAAGGAAACACCTGCAGCCTAGACAGGTACTCCCCGTATTTGCCTTGACAGCGCTTCCTTTTCCGCCTGGTGCGGGGATTTGGAATTCTTCACCGGGCGCCGGGCTTCGGCCGAAGCGAACCGAGGCGAATGACATCAGCAGCAAAGGCGTGGTTGACGCCGCGACGCCGCGGCGGAGGGGAGGGACCCGATGACGACGTGGTGTGAGGGAAGAGGCCCATTCCGCGCGAGGAACGGTTCGGGCGACGACGGTGCGGGCGACGGTTTTTCGGGCGATTTGGAAGTCTGAGTGATTTGGATGTTCAGTGAGCAAGAACTGACCGGCCTTCTTTTTTCAGTGAAAGAGGCATTGGCAGAATGTGGCAGAATAGGTTTATGAACTCTTCATTTGGAGTTTTTTACTTGTGACTCAGATGTGTATTGGAGACAGAAGCTTTGCTAGCGCTTCGTGATGCAAGACTTCCACTTATGGAAGTGTTTTTTTTCTGATGCACCAATCAATGTAGAAGGCTACTGGAAGGCTACTTCGTACCACATATAAGCTTGATGCATAAACCCATTGTCAATAGCACCATGAGTTGCTTCACCAGTACCTTGCTTCAGTACGAGTACATTGGACGTTCGGTATGAAGCTCTTGCGTTCGATCAGACGTTGAAAACGACACAGGGTTGAAATGCAGAAAGACCGGAGGTGAACCAGTTGGTGGTCTTGTGGTCCAAATCATTCCAAGAAGGTGAACCAGTTGGTGGGACTTTCCTCCTTGGAAGGATTTGGTCTACCAACCGTAACCAGCGGACCCAGGTTTGTCTTCGTTTGGCTGTAGGCTGTGGGTGGCGATGCGCAGCTGAAGCGTCATCTTCAGCTGTGGAATCATAGGGCTCATCAATGAGAACTGCACTGAAGTAGAACCTCAACAGCTCAGCAAATAATGTAATTGTGACATCAACCCCCCCTCGTAATTGATTATTATCCCAGATGGCGATGTAGTAGCCATTCTGACAGGAGATGAATTACACTGAATCCACGACGTCCCCATGCCGATCTTCCATTCTCCCTGGTCTTCGAAATCACTCTGGTTGCCCGGACTGGTCTGACTAAGACAGCTCTAGTAACAAGTGCCACGCTACTAGGAACAAGTGCCACGCTACTAGTAACAAGTGCCTTACTAGTAGTAACAAAGAAGCTATTCATATGCTCCAACAGCGGTAGAACGCTGCTTTTTTCAGCAGCTTCCTGATATGTCGGTGGACTGACTCAACGACCGGTCGTCCCGTCGACTGACTGTTGCACCACACTCTAGTCGACTCAAGTGGTGTTCCTTCTGAAAAAAAAGGCTTCAAGTTGGCAGAAAGTGAGACATCACGCAGGCAGAAAAGAACCGGAGATCCCCTCTGTGCCCTTTGGTCGAACTTCCTCGAACTTTCACCTGGCGAGTCACGACCTGCCGAGCCAAACCCGCCGGGGTGGGCCAGTGGTGGCGGGCGACGCACCGGCGGAGCCAGGAATTGGCCTGATCCTGAAAGCGATGTTGTTCAACAGCTCCTTGGCACTGACGAATGAGAATAAGGATCGGTAGCCTCCTTTACTACTAATTTTAATTTGAATTTTGATTAAATTCTAATTCATGTATTGTTTCTACTAGCTTCTTGTTACTACTAGTAAGGCACTTGTTCCTAGTAGCGATGCCGTTTGCTCCTAGGCAATTCTGGGAATCACATCCTCACCCCTCAAGGCCCATCGAAATGGAACACCGGGTCATGCCCAAGGGCCTTGAGGGGTTGTTTTGTGGAGGAAGATCGAGAGAGCATGTTCCGTATGAGTTCGTCGTTGGAGGGTCCAGTGACATACATGTTGCTTCAATGTGCTCCGTGTCAGGATCAGGATCGGCAGGGAGGGTTGAAGGTTGGAGAATGCGTAGGAGAACTCGCCCCTTAGAGGAATTGATCTTTGGAAACCCCATCCCAAAGTGGTTTCAAGCTGGTCTGTTTTAGTTGAAGCGCCAAAACAGAAGATGAGCACATGACGATTGTGAGTAAAATGCGAAGGCATATACCAATAGCAAAGCCCAATTTGTCTGCCAATCTCTTTCTCAGACATTGTCAGATCCAATTCAGTCTTCAACACCGTGCTCACTTTGATAAATCCCCCCCTGATCCATTTTCTAAAAGTTCAGAGGCTCGGCCTCCACCGAACCAGAGACCCCACCGCTAATGGCGCGGACCAGATCCGCGTCGAGGAAGCGTGCGGTCCTTGGATCTCTCCTCGAAGACCAGCTCCAGCCGCTGGGCGTTTTCGGCGAGAGTTCTTGTGAAACACCATGCGATGTCACGTGTCACGTGGCCAGGTGTTCTGGGTTCTTCATGTCATGTCATGACAACATATTCCAG